AAAAATCTATAAAAAACTCTACGGAAAAATTGGCTCAATGAATTTCTCTGAAATTTTGGCGAAATATCAAACTTTTTTTTCTCTATCTTTTATCTATTGACACGAAGATAGGTTTTCTTTAGCTAAGGTGTCTAAACCGCATCATCGAGCTAGCCCTTTTTGACTACCCGACTTCATACTCTCAAGAAAATCCAGGCATTAAATATTTTTAAACCCGTTTTAATGTTATTTTGCAGAAAAATAATTGCTTTTTCTAATGAAATCAACCGTAGTTCAATTGGTGCATTTGTTGGTTTTAAGCGGAAGTACGAAAAAAACGAAAAGACTTATGCATCAACCTAATAGCAAAAAAAATACAATCAACCGTTGGTTCAGTGTTTGCAAAGCCAAAGAAAAGGGAATATAAAGTGGGCTCCATTTCTTTTTATCACACAAACGATCTTTAGAGGAAGGAAAAGAGAATCAGAGATATTCAAAGATCAAAGCATCAAATAAGATTTCACAGAAAAGCTCTCTGGACACTGTTTTTATTTTACACCAGTGCTTGATTCGATTTTCAAAATTTATTCTAATCTTTGACAATCTGATTTGACAATCAAAATTCTATTGATCCTAAGAACTGAAACCCTTGCATCGATGTCTTTTTGAGGCCAGCAGTCACTTTTCAACATATTGGGTTGGGGAGAATGAGTCGGCGCCAAACTTTAAAGGGACTTTTTGCACACATAAAGCCTTCTTTAAACATACGTTTGGTTTCATCAAAAGGATCCACTATTTCTCTACAAAATCACTTTTGAGAGATTCCACAAAGCTTTTCTTTCGTGGAGTTTATGAACTTCGAAACGCAGCTGGTTAAAATGGCAAAGAGTCCGACTCATCATTTGAACAGTTTCTTTCACATAAACCTTCTTTGGTGTTTATATAAAAAAGATAGAGCACATTCAATTACTTAAGTTGCCAAATTTGCAGGAAGATCCCACCAATGGTTTTTTCTAGATCACAGTTTGTAGTTTTTGTGAAAAAATGGCTTTTTCTTGAGCGGAGGCGCTGTTTGAATTTTCTTTTAAATGTGATTTTGTAGAGAATTAGTTAACCATTCTACTCATATCAAACGCATATTATTTGACGAAGTCGAATAGAAGTTTTAGACATTTTTTTCATTTTCGGCGCCGACTCATTCTCCCCAACCCAATAATTTCAAAAAAAGAAACATCAGCTTTGGAAAGAGCACCCAAAATTCCATATTCTTGCTTATTTTCTGTGCCCAGAGGCATATTTTCTGTGCCCAATTCCATATTCTTGCATATTTCTGTTTCTATTTTCTGTGCCTTCAAAGAACACCCATTTAGCATCTAGCAAAATTCATTTTTTTGCTCCTTCAAATTTTGCTTGCGCTTGTTTTGTTTGAAAATTTTGTTGATTTTTTAAAGCCTAAAGATGCCTAGAGTTTAACAAACAGTCACGCAGATAAAAAACAAAACAAAACTGCAACTGAAAAACGATTTAGCATATTTTGTTTAGCGTAAAAACATATTTTGTTCAATTTTATAACTTTTTCTAAATGCCTTAAAGGTTGTTTTAAAAAAAAACTGGACAAAATTTAGCTAAATTTTGCAAAATTCTGCAAAATATAGCTAAATTTAACAAATTGCAACGTTAATTTTTACGAAATTTAGCATTTTGGTGGCCCAAAGGCCAGAATTTCTGAGTGACGGGTTTTATGATTTTGCTTTAGATGGACAGTATGTAAATAGACAGGACAGTTCTTGATAGTTCTAGTTACCAAATGGCAACAACTTACAAATAATGTACTTCCACTAAACTCATAAATTGGATTGATGTAAAGGATTCCATAACCGCCAAAGCTCGGCGACGGGAAGAACACCTCGACGAGACAGCCATGATAGAAAAGCTCTGTCAATATTGACCACATCTAAAACGAAAATCGGGTACAACGGTGCAAGGTTTTCCTACTTGTTCTAGCTTGTTTTCTACTCATTTTTAATCTTTTTGTACAGTTTAATTCAAGTTCTACAATATTGAATTAGTTTAAATAGTTTTGGAAAAGAAAAAAGGCTCTTGCGTAATTTCCGGGTATTTTGAACGGGTCGTCACGCTTTGAAGGCCTATAACTTTGTCTAGAGACAATATTATAGTCAACTTTTTGTATCATTGTACAGAGAACATTTCAAGCTTTCAAATGATCTCAAATAGAGCTTGATTGGATAATCCAGTCTAAGAGAATCAGAACCAACTCTGAGCAAATGAGGCCTATCCAACTCGATTGGTGTGTCGCCTGGTTTGCATGGGAAAGGAAAATTCAGCCAAGCTTTATTTAGTATCATTTGAAAGCCTGAAAGGTCCTCTGTACAATGATATAAAAAGTTAGCAATAATATTATCTCTAGACAAAGTTATAGGCCTTCTAAGCGTGACGACCCGTTCAAAATACCCGAAAACTACGCAAGGGCCGTACAATCGGATATTTTCATCATTCAGAACCAACCTGATACCACAAAACGTAATATTTATATTGGCCCATGTACTTCGGGGAGACATAAATGATTAGATAAACGGTGAAGAGGTTGACGATTGTCCCGAGAAAACCGGAGATTGTCTCGAAAAGGACGAAATTTGATGGATACTCGTGGGCTATTGCTATCATTGTCGTGAAAAAATGATGAAAATTATAGGGAAATTGCTGTGTTTGTGCTTTCTGGGCAGGTGATTTTGTCAAAAGATTGGGGAAAATGTACCTACACAAACACGTTTTTTATAAATTTCAACAAGAAATTTCCATTTCTGGATCGTTGAAGTCAATTTTTGTCATAATCCATTGTGTTGATCGATCAATTTATCGAATTTTATCGAATCGAATCGAACAATTTCTTTTCTTACAGACAATTTAGAGTTTAGAGTCGTGTTTTACAAAGTTTCCTAGGCTAGGCTGAAGGTAGACAATCAAAAACAACTCGGGAAGCAGGTGAAGACTTGAGATTTCCACCAAACATCAGCTTTCGAGCTCATTCAGTGCCATTCTCCAACACATCACTCACACAAATTTCATCGATTTCATCGATTTCAAAGGGTCCACCAATCGGCTTGTCGTTCTCACTAAACTGCTCTCAACAATGAGCCAACTTTCAGTTAAACTTGCTTACGCTAAATACTGTAAAAGAACCCTCACTCTAAAATCCCATGGGGTTCATTTAAAATATTTACGATAGCTTGTAAATATAAATTTTTTTTGTAATACGCCATCTATTAGGGTGATGAGAATAAAAGGTTGAGACTCGACCAGCGCTTATTTTTTAACACCTAAGTCCCCAATAATCAATCGAATTCAAAAACCTTTTGCACTATTTTGTAGAGGAGATTCAGGGCTTTCGAACAGTATACAACAATTAGGTCGAGGTTGAGGTTGAGGCTTGAGAAGTAGAAAGTAATGGGAAGAAAAGAAAAGAAGCGGAAATTTAAGGGTGAATCGAAATCAAGAGCATTTCGGCTTTTCTGTGAAAAATCTCGCTGAAAAGGATAGCGAGAAGGCTGAAATTTGGGGATATTGTTGTAGAAAATCAAAAAAAAAGATAAGCAACGAAGCAATGAAATGGATAAGCAATGAAGAAAGAGCTGCATCGAGTAGAGGAGAGCGATTTGGAATGAGGAGAGGAGACAATTCAGCCAGATAGCCGGCAAGAAGCCCGTCATGTCAACACATTGCCATCTGGGAAAACAAGAGATGTTTTCTCTTAAAGAGATTTCTCTAAATTTACCCCCAAACACAGACATCATAGTAAAAATAGAGAAATGATTCGATGAAACGACACAAATTGTCGATGAGAAGGATGAATTTCACACTTTTTGAGAGGGCGATCTTTTGGTAGACAACGTGGGCACATAGAGAGCTCAAAATGACACCGAAGAGGCTGAGCTGAAAAAAAGGAGGGCTCAACAAGACGATTGACACGAGAGCTCAAAATGAGAGCTCAATATGACACCGAAGAGGCTGAGCTGAAAAAAAGGAGGACTCAATAAGACGATTGACACGAATTATCTTTTTGTCTTGTGAAAAAATGAATTAACGCGAGCTTTTTAGAATCTTAAAGAGCAATTTGTAAATAAAATTCAGCCATCCAAAACAGCGGAATAACCACGTAGTCGATGATCGAAAACCCTTTGAATGAATAGGATGAACGATGCGATGAGAGCACCAAAAAGAAGTCGGAAGAAAAGCTGAAGAAGCGGGAATTTAAAGGTGTATCGAAAATAGATCCTGTCATTGGATAGAATAGAATGATTACGAGAAAACGACTGGAAATAAGAGAGATGATGATTATGATTTTTCTAAACGGCTTACTTTGCATGACGAGCTTTTCATTAACACTTTCCTTGCAAGAAAAACGAAATTCAGAATGATTTGCAGCAAGCATGGTGGTTTAAATACCAAAAACCATTGCGTGCCAGCGGAAGCGCGACTTTCAACTCTCAAAGCCTATATAAAACTTTTGTTTACTCCGATCGAGCAAATATTGGGCACTGCTGCAGAAGACCTAGTCAAAATTTACCTCTGAAAAAAGAATCAGAGAGATTTGTTTTGATTTTAGCTGAGCTAGACTCTTGGAAGTGAGTCCGGGAAGTTATGACGCACTTTTATCTCTCTGATCTCTCATTTGCGTCTTTTGTTGCGCAATTTTTATCCCTTTTTCCACAAATCTCAATCAATTCACCTTGCCGACTGCTCATTTGGCTTTTGTTTTTTTGATTTTACACTCTTTCAACTGGCAGTAGGAGTTTAAGAAAGCCTCGACTTACAATTTAATATCATTTTTAAAGCAATTTTCATTCAAGAATCCCATTCTGCATTGCAAATTTTAAAAAAAAATCCATTATCTTTGTTTTGGCAATGTTTTGGCGGAACTTTTTATTATTTAATTTCAATTTGTTCAATTTTCACAAAACCTTGACGTTTATCTTGACTTTTAGATTTAAAATTGATGAACAATGAACATTGATCAAAATGTGCATGCTTTCGAGGAGCGCTGGATCGGCAGGGGAACCTATGGGCAAGTTTTCGAGCTTGTCGGCCATCAACCGTTCGTTTTCACAACTTCTCAATTTTAGCTCTGAGATTTTAAAACATTTGAAAGACTTTAAAGCATAAAGACTACAAAATTTGATTGTTTTGAAAACAATCGTGAACAACTCTAGACCTGCCGTCATCAAATACATCGACTGTGACACAAAGGAGAAACTCGCGGCGTTTAAAATCGAATGGGAGACGATGAAAGAGTTGAATCACACGAATCTGGTGCCACTCATCGGCACAAAGATTATTGAGGGATTTTCATTCGGCACTAGAAGAGACAAATTCGGCATCATTATGGAGTACTGTGAAGGGGGAACGCTCAAGAATTGTGAGTGATCACAAGGAGAAATTTGTAATTAAGCAAATTGCTAGCTGGATTGCAGGGATGAGTACTTTTGTGTTATCTGGTGGAATCTCACAAGGGAACCCCACCAGAACCCCTTCATTGTTTGGCTGGCAACAGAGTGTTTCTGATGCAGAATTTCGCGGGGATTACGAATCTGTAATCAGAAGCTTCTAGAGCTTCAAACAAAAAGGATATTCAACCTTTTCTTTCAAAGGTCAAATCAGGGCTAGACTCCGCTTCATTTTCAGGCCAAGAAAAAGAAACGATTACGTTTAATCATGTGATATTTTCAACTTCCAATTAGCTTGGCTTGAAATTGAGTAACAAGCCAGATCAGATCAACCTAGACTGGATCAATGAAACTAAACTAGGCTAATGATCTAGGATCTAGCCTAACCTAGATCTGGTTTTCTTTGAAAGACTCTAAAATGTGGAGATCTGGGGCATAGGCTTTTCATTCGGCACTAGAAGAGATAAATTCGGCATCATTATGGAGTACTGTGAAGGGGGAACGCTGAAGAATTGTGAGTGATCACAAGGAGAAATTTGTAATTAAGCAAATTGCTAGCTGGATTGCAGGGATGGGTACTTTTGTGTTATCTGGAAGGATCTCACAAGGGAACCCCACCAGAACCCTTTCATTGTTTGGCTGGCAACAGAGTGTTTCTGATGCAGAATTTCGCGGTGATTACGAATCTGTAATCAGAAGTTCCTAAAGCCTCAAGTAAAAAAGATATTCAACCTTTTCTTTTCGCAGTCATCGGCGCGCCATAACATCCTTACCTAGGGGTTATTGCGCTTGCGTCATAGGCCAACTGCCACCTTTTTGCACGGTTTTAATCCCCCATCCCGCCATCTTTTTTGCTTTTTTGATTTTTTCGTATCAAATTGGTTTTTAATTAAACAAATTCATTATCTTTATAATAATAAAATTTAAAATAGTATAGCATCAATAACTTTTTTCGTTTTTTTTTCTAAAACGTAATTGGTATCCTCACGTCTTTGCTTACTCTAGTGCTTGTTAATTGAGATAGCCTTTCATTGTCAGCTTGGAATCAAACTGCTTTAGAAGATTGTTTTTAAAAAGCAAAAAAATTCGGGGATTGGAATTGAACCAGAGAAGAAAAATTCGCACTACCTATCCACTTTTTTTCTAAAAAGGTAATTGGTATCCTCACGTTTTTTCGTTGTAACCAATTGCATCTAATGAATTTTTTAAAATTAAAAACCAATTTCACACAAAAAAAAGATGGCGGCATGGGGGATTGAAACCGTGCAAAAAGGCTGAGATTCTCCCATGATGCAAGCGCACTAACCACCAGGCCACCGTCGTAGCCGATAGAGTTGATCTTATTGTGATGTTATTGCGATCTTATTGCGATTTTATAAATCTTAAAAAGGATCTTATTGCGCGTCGATAGCTGCGAAAAAATGTGACGAAAAGAAAAGGTTGAATATCCTTTTTTGTTTAAGACTTTAGGAACTTCTGATTACAGATTCGGAATCACCGCGAAATTCTGGATCAGAAACACTCTGTTTCCAGCCAAACAAGGAAGGGGGTCTGGTGGGATTCCCTTGTCAAAAAAATTAGCTGAGGGGAATCTTTTCCGTTCATTTTCCACTTGATTCTACTTGATTTTGCTTTCTTTTACTTTTAGCTTTTTTTTATTCAAAGCGCAAATGCGTCTCTCAACTTTAAAGCAATTTCCGGGATCTAAGTTTTAGGGACGCATTTGCTAACTGCAGGAATTAGCTGCAGTTAGCATTTGACTCCAAAAGTCCCGGATTTTACTCAAGAGCCGAAAAGTCTTTAGAACAACCTTGGCCAGTCCCATTAGAGTCTTTATTGGAGAGCTCGTTCAAATTCAAGTATAATCTCTAGAGGGCCGGAGCTACAGTAAACCAGCTCAGGGACAAGATCTGGTCTTGGCAAGCCTCTTTGGCATAGTGTTTTGGTTTTGAAACAATCCTTGGCTGAACTTGAAAAAAAAGATTTTTAGTACTCCAAGAGAAGAAAATGATTTATTCAATGGGAACGGTGTTGGAATGGGCGCAACAACTTTTCGATGGACTTTCCTATTTATTTGAGCGACACAAACTCGTCCACCGGGACATCAAGCCAGACAAGTGCGATTATAATTTCACTTCTAGTTAGAAAGTCAAATAAAAGTCAATTCAGCGTTTTTGTCATGGGTTGTATGGCGAATTACACATTGAAATTCGGGGATTTCGGTTTGGTGAAAGTGATCGAGCAAACCGGTACAGGATCGCTGGGGCCAACAACGAGATACACGAGTCCTCCGCAATTCGACGGAACCAAAGCCGTTCCAGATCAAATGAAAGCCGATCCTGAAGTAAGCTTAGAAAGTTGAAAATGCCAGAAAATGATCTACCAAGGCAAAAGTCCAATCATTGACCTGGACAAGTCCTGGTGTCAATTTAGAACTCACATCGAAACGACGTGTACAGCTTGGGGCTCATCTTGTGGGAGATCATCGAGAGACGGTTATCTTTTAGCAAAATCAACGACTTTCTAAAATTTCAGCATTGTGTACTCGGCTTACAATTATGAGGCTATTTACGATGGGCAGGGTTGCTTCAATAGGGATACCTTTCTGATTGACATCATTCTAAAGAGATTCACGAAACTCGAGTCACCACAATGTCAGTCAGACATTCAGGAACTTGTCGACAGGTTAGAATTTAAGGCTTATTGATCTACGAATTTGCACGCTTTTAATGGTCTTTTGCATACAGGGGATTCTATCGGTTGAGAACTAACAAGGGAAGCTCAACTGGCTGAGCAGGCCAAATTCTATACGATCTATACCATTCGACGGAGAATTTTAAGCTGATTCCGAACGTATTGTTAAATTTTCAGGCCAAGAAAAAGAAACGATTACGTTTAATCATGTGATATTTTCAACTTCCAATTAGCTTGGCTTGAAATTGAGTAACAAGCCAGATCAGACCAACCTAGACTAGGTCAATGAAACTAAACTAGGCTAATGACCTAGGGTCTAGCCTAACTTAGATCTGGTTTTATTTGAAAGACTCTAAAACGTGGAGATTCGGGGTATAGGCTCCCCAAGACGGCAGCAGATCTTCGTCATGGCTTGAGGTCAGGGTGATTCCTCCAAGAAAGCTCAGGGTGACCCCCTCGGAGTGGGATTGGGGGATAGTTGTGTAAAATTTTAGACTAGATTAAGTCAGTCCAGATCGAGCCACGGACCAGGCCTGGCTAGATATGGCTTTGGCCAGTTGGCCTTTGCATGTAATGCATTCTTTGCATGTAATAAAAACTAGCTCACAACTCTTTATTGTATAGATTCAATCACTTAGGTGTACAAATTTCAATCGTGACCACCGGCCCAACGCCAAGGAGATTTTTGAGGAAATCCAGAGGATAAAATCGGTAATTAGTTGAACAATAAACAATAGAGCAAAGAAATTTCAGGAAAATCTCTTTATCAGCGAGCTCGATCCTCTGCCTCGAATCGAAGAAAGCCAAACAAAACTTTTGCGTCCAATCGGTTTCGATGGACAATTTGAGAGAATTGCTGTGGAAGTTGATGAGCTCTCCAGCTTTTCATCCCTTTCTTTTTCCCTTTCTTCGTCCAATCGTTTCAGCTATGGGCCATTCATCGAAGAACTGACTCAAAAAGACGCAAGCTCGGCGTTATTCGAGGCAAAAATTGTGCCACTTTTGCTTGAGAAATTCCTGAGTCTCAGCGATGAGCAAAAGGAGAATTTCTATCAAAACGTTCCAAAAATTATTAGCAGAAATGTCGATAAAATTCACAAATTCCACGAATGGGAAGAACTCTACGGGAAGATTCAAGGGAATTGCACATATTCAAGCCCGGTGAAGAACTCGGAGAATATCGAGGAGCTTTTCGAGTTGATGATCATCAACGACTTCTACTGCCTTGTCGAGTGTCTTTACTCGTTTTTCAATTTCCTCGAATCGTCTGTGAAAATCTCGCTCTCACCTTGGAGTAACTATCAGGAAAGCGTTAAAGTGTTGGCTAAATTGGAAGACTTTAAACGAAGTCGGTACACCACGCGAATCTATTTCAAGTCCTACTTTTCTGAAGCCACTCACGAGACTTGGTTCTTCATTGACGAGGTGCATCAAGAACTTCAAAGATTTGTTAGAAAAGATCTTCTAAATGTGATGACTTTTGATGGATATCGGCTAAACGTCAGAGAACGTGAGATTTTGATTTCTGGAGCGCGAGGAGCAGCTGGGTACGAGAGGTTGCCCGAGCACGACGAACTGCATCTCACTGGCTTGGAGCCAATCGATCTCTTCAAAGTAATCGAGGCGATGAAGAAAATCTCGGAGAATCTCGTGAAAATGGGGGAGATCACAATGAGTAAACAGGTACGTTGCATTGGGCGTTGCCAAGAAGTGAGAAGTTAGTGAATGAAGATGCAAAGGATTTGCCGATCCCGGGCTACGGTTTCCAGTTAAGGAACCCGCCTCGTCGCACTTGTACGCATGCACCCAAGTGTCCTCTTGAGTCATTTGATCCATTGAAGAGATCATATGAAAAGATCGGCTGGAAATTCGCCTCATACCCGGAAAAAATGAGACTCTCGATTTATGACTGTACCACCGACGAAGAGCGGGATTACTTGGAGTACTATTTCCTTTTTCTTGACATTTTCCATCAATTGCTCGTCAACTCGAGCACTGTTTTCACGTTTTTGCATGAGAAACGAATGAAATTTCTCCAGTTTTCCCCGCTCAAAGTCAACTATTTTCTATTTAAGAATTTCGTTTTTAAAACCGATCAAGGGGATGGATTGTTGATTTTGCTTGACTATCCCTCAAATTATGAGAGTGGAGAAAAAGTGCCGTGTATTGCGCTGGATTTGAAGTTTCGTCGAGTTGAAGCCGATCTTTTGCGGAAGTATTTTGAGCCAGAGACAAACATAAATGTCAATCCTGACCTGCAAAACACGCTAATGGTGATAAACGAGAATTTTGAGGCGAGAATGTTAGCGTTTAACGGAAATCGGCTATCCGAGTGGTTTGATTTGAAAACTGGGAAAGACTCGAGTTCATTTCCTGAACAAACTTATATCAAAGGTCTGCCAGCTGGGTCAATGATCAGTTTGGAGAAAGTTTTCAAGTAATGAGCCTCATCATTGGCTGCTTGTGACGACAAGTCACCAGAAAAAACTGCCGCAGTTCAATAAGACACCAGAAATAACATACCTTAAACAATGTCGCACTCGCACGCGTATAAAAGGACGCCTCATTCCCTATTTGCGAAAGTTTTCTCTCAATTGTCTTGTGAAAGAGGGTTTCTTTTGTTCGAGATACTTCCACAAAGTGATTCCTTTTTGTCTCTGAGTCAACCCATTGTTTCTTTGAGCTTCGTTGAAACATTTTCACACGCTATACCCCATCTGTATTGAATAAACTTGGTTTTGTTATTCATTTAAGCAGCGCACGTCTAGTGAATTCAAGGAAAAGCACATTAGTAATTCGTAATACAGAGCAAATTAGTTTTGCTGCTACTGCTTGCTCTTTCTATGTGCTTCACAATTTCGTTAGTTGAATACTCAGGCTTGTAGTTAGATAATATTATTGGATTGGGGAGTATGAAATGGCGGCGTCTTTAGACGAACTTTTGAAAAAAACTAAAACCTAACTTTTTCTCATATATTTTTTCTAATAACAATTGAAGTTTTGTTGATTATACGCCAAAATTTCATCCCAATCTGATGCAGAGTTTTTGAGAAATGGAAACAATTATAGAGATGAGATTCTCGGAAATGAGAACGTTTACTCAACTTTTTTGAGCTCTAAAGAGAATTAAACATCTGAAAGTGCTCAAAATGTAAACAACTTTTAAAGAAATTCGGAAAAAATGAAGTCCTAACAATAAAGCATGATGTTGGCAACCGTTTATGTAAACTTTTCCAATGCAAAGACAAAAAAAAACGTTTGATAAATGACATACCGTAAATACTGCAATCAAGCGCATCTTTTAGAAAACGGTGCAATCAAGAAGAACAAAGTCTAATGAAAAATTCGATTGGTTTAGAAAATATGCAATCAACAACAAGAATGTTAAAAAGTTCCAGAATTGTGTGTTCAGAAACGGATTGATAAACCGGATTAAAAATCTAAACAAAATTAAAGCCTCGATTTTCTAAATCTTATTTAACACCTAAATATCTGGTAATCGATAAATTTTATATTCAAAATTGCGTAGATTTCTTTGCGAAACGTTCTTTCAACAAAATTTCCTTCAGATTTGAGATGAGATATAGAAGACTCGACAAAATGGATAGCGCCAATCGAGCAGTTTTGTAGAGACAAATTTAACCGCATCGTAATCGCCCTCCATCTGGCACATGCCCCCGATAGATAGGTGTTTCCTTTCGCAACCCGAAAAGGGGAAGGAGCGGTGAGGGACGGAACCGGCTTCGCCTCTCCTCGGCGTCGCTATGCCAGAATTTTTGGGATCAATTTTTGACCCAAATCTGGCTGGATTCCTCTAAAAATTCTAGTCAAAACTAACCGCACCTGGCCGGTGAAAAATTTCCCGTTTGTCTCTGAACCGTTCTTTTTTCAAAGCCCCTCCTTGTTTTTGATTGCTTATGTATCTTTCTCATTGTTTATAGAAATAACAGAGCACCGGAAAATTAAAAAAATACAGTCTAACACAAATCTAAAGAAAAAGTTCTTTTTATGTAATTGAAAATTTTTTTTGTATAGCTTGAATAATTCGTTCGTTCAACTCTAGAAAGCCATCTTGCATACTAGCTTCTCGTCGGCATGCCAAGTGACCGTTCGCTTCCAAAGCGATTTTGCCTCTCCGCGCAATTCCACGGCTTTTGCCAGATCGCGAATGAACAGACCAGCCTCCATCATGTAGCGATCGGCGAACCGCGGGAATTTCTCGCGTAACGCTTCGAACACGCCTACCTAAAATTTTTTTGGTACTTTCTCTTCCACGTTGATCAATTGTGGTCTACAGACTTTTCTTTGCAGAGTTAGCACAAAAGAACTTTGAGTCTAAGTAGACTTTAGGTAGAAAAAGTTTATCAAGGAAGTTTTTGGGAATCAAAAACAAACACCGGCTGTAAAAACTACTGTTTTCTATAGAGATCATTATTAAAGCTGTAAGGAATTGGGTGCTCGGTAGATCAAAGCTATTGGGTTGGTGAATCGAAAACTGTGGACTTTGAACTCAAAGTTCTTCAACATAAAACCATGAATTCATTCCAAATAATTTCCATTATTATTGACGACTTCTGCCCATTTTACAGGCAATTTGCGGATTCCTCTTTCGTAGTAGGATTTTGGTTTGTGTGTGGGACAAGTGTGAGACTCAAAAATCGAGGACTGGAGATGTCCCAGTTTGAGCACTTTCTTCAAAAGAAACCCATTTTGGTGTCAAAAGAAAAGTTGTAGAGAATCAAAAATGAGGCTTATAGCCAAATTTCCAAAAAGATACACTTAGTAGTTTCGCTTAAAATGCAAGTTTTGTGAAAATTCGTAAATTTGGCATTTCTTGAAAACCAGTTTTTGAATCGTTCTGCAAATTTGGATATAAGCTTAATTTTTGATTCTCTACAACTTTTCCATTGACACCAAAATGCGTTTCTTTTGAAGAAAGTGCTCAAACTGTGCCATATGACAATAGCGGGCAGTTTTCAATTCACCAACCCAATATATGATCCAGTGTGAATGCTTAAAGTATATAATAATTAAAACAAAAAATAATAGCAGGATCTTATAAGAGAAGCCCATAACATTTTTTTGCTAACCCACCGGGTTTCGACGCTTCAGCGACGCCTTGTGCTCGGGCCTTTCCACCGCATAGAAGCACTCCTCGTGCAGCTCGACGATCAGCTTCTTGCTGAGACTCGAGCTGTTTGATAGGGTGACCGCGTATTTGATGACACTGAGCGTGCCCCTCTTCACAACAATGTCCAGTCGATCCAGCCGTTCGCCGACATCTTGCAACACGTAGATGACGGCGTCGAAAAGTCGCTGAGCACAGTGCCGACTGAGCGGATAGTTGTAGGAGACCATGTGCGCGAGGAGTTGCGGAGTCAACGAGTGAAACGCCACTCTCAACAGAACTCGATGTAAGTCCGTCGACAAGATTTGTACGGTGCGTTCACCGCTCAACACCTATTAAAGAAAATATATGGTTTGAATGGCTTACAATTTTTCTTTCCTAAATAACTATTAAGTACCTATAGTCGAAGTCTGATTTGGCGGTCCAGCTACTTCTCATACAACTACTTTTAATTCTTAACATTAAACAATAACCATTAAAATCTAAAACATCAAGTCTTTGCCACATTGATGACATTCGTCGATTTGGCATTGGTCGATTCTAACTTAACTGCAGCTACGACAGGCACGAGACATAAAAGCGAGCCAATTTGTATCCTCACAGGGTAAAAAATCAAAGTTGAAACAAGCATCGTTTGAAGTATCGAATAAAACTCGCCCATTTCACGAATGTCATCAATGTGGTGAAGCCTTGATGTTTTATTGGGTTGGGGAGAATGAGTCGGCGCCCAACTTTAAAGGGACTTTTTGCACACATAAAGCCTTCTTTAAACATACGTTTGGTTTCATCAAAAGGATCCACTATTTCTCTACAAAATGACTTTTGAGAGATTCCACAAAGCTTTTCTTTCGTGGAGTTTATGAACTTCCAAACGCAGCTGGTTAAAATGGCAAAGAGTCCGACTCATCATTTGAACAGTTTCTTTCACATAAACCTTCTTTGGTGTTTATATAAAAAAGATAGAGCACATTGAATTACTTAAGTTGCCAAATTTGCAGGAAGATCCCACCAATGGTTTTTTCTAGATCACAGTTTGTAGTTTTTGTGAAAAAATGGCTTTTTCTTGAGCGGAGGCGCTGTTTGAATTTTCTTTTAAATGTGATTTTGTAGAGAATTAGTTAACCATTCTACTCATATCAAACGCATATTATTTGACGAAGTCGAATAGAAGTTTTAGACATTTTTTTCATTTTCGGCGCCGACGCATTCTCCCCAACCCAATAGATTTAAATGATTGTGGTTTAATGCTAATAATTAAAAGTAGTTGTATGAGAAGTAGTTTCAAAAAGACTTGTATTTGAAATGGAGATCAATTACCTCTAAAAAAGCAAAAGAAACTAAACTGCGGCCCCGAATCCAGAAGGGTTTGCCTTAGATTCTATCCAACTACCACTGGGCCAGCACTGCTCTGTAAAGTCTCTGAGAAATCTGCTTGTAAACTCGAGGGATGATTTTTAAAATTCCATACAAAACTTTGAGCGCTTTTGACTTTTGATAGAGTGCCATTTTGCAAAAACGGAAAACAGATGCGGAATCAGCGTGAAATTCTGCGTCGAATGCTATATGGCTCATGTCATCGACCCCACCAGCTTGACCTTCCCTTATGAATCTAACCTGTTCACTGCTGTATTGCTTTGAGCGTGCCTTCATCATAGCAGAATCCAATTGAAGGGCGCCTAAATTAGAAAGTTTAAGTTCAGAAGATCAAACTATTATTTACTACTTTTTTAAACATTCTTGAAGTCACCTTTACTAAGCGTGCTCTCCTCAAACAAAGTGGAAAGTCGTTGAGCCGATGGTTGAATCGTAGCCGATTTGTCCTCATTCACAATTGTTCGTATCAGCTTTTTCAGAGCAATTTCGAGCACTTTGGAAAGGCGACCGTGTTCAAAGCTTTGGGTCTCCGTTGTTCCAAATGTGGAAAAAGTTAATGTTGTCTTCAGCTTGGCACTTTTTGCAAATTTCAATTTTGCATTCACATCGGCAAGAGCTAGACTTGTAAAGGCGAAGATGGCAGCCGGCGGGTTAGAAGGTCAAGAGAAATTGTTGTTGGTTGAGAAATAAATAACCATTTCAGTAGTATTGTGGCAATCGACGCTTTCAACAATCCATTTCTCATCACGAGTCTCCCATTGAGTATTCTCATTACACACGAGGACTAAAGATGGATCAGCTTGACCCACGGTGCCACTAGGCGATTTGTAGATCTAAATAAATAGTTTCTGTCGTCTTGAAGCACATTTTATTGATTCTTGAGTGATTTATGTGTAATTGTTATCAGTTCCCTAATAAGTCAAGCTTTGTTATTGATTTAGGTTAACTATTGGAAATGTTATCATATTGGAAATGTAATACTAAACAAATCTGAGGAAAGTGAGTGTCAGTTTATTTTCATTCAAATCTCACCACGTAATTTGGTTGATTGCAAATGAGCGAACGAATCAAACAACCAGCGGAACTGTTTCTAAAGGGATCCATTTCTTTATTTGCCTTGTTTTTCACTCACTCACCCTGTTTTATCTTTGTTGAACCCTTCCACACCCGGTGGATCACTTTTCTTGCATTCTGAGCATCCAGCTGAAATTAGCTTCTAATTTTTGATGGGATTTCAAATTTTTCCAGTTTATAAAGCATATATAATAGTATAAAAGCTAAATTTTTTAATAAAATCAAACAGAAAAGAAAATTATTGTAATTGTCGTTATTTAACTGTTATCTCACTAACTGGTAAGTTAGATAGGTTAGGCTAGGACAGCTTTTTAAGAGCTTCAATACTTTTAATTCAAACTTCAAAACTTTTTAATAAAGACAAACCTTTCACACTTGAAATACTCAATAAAATGAAAGCTGAGAGGTAAATAAATCTTTCCATTTTAAGCAATATTTGCTAGTGGAACACCTTTTGACTGCAAAACATTTTTTATATCAATCTTTCAAATGACCTTGAGAAAAGTTAAACAAAAAAATTTCATAAAAAGCCTATTTGCCAGATGAAAAGAGAGATCTGTGTGAGTCATTGGAATAAAATAGGAAAATTTTTGAAATACCTAAGTACTTCTCGTATTTATTCTAATAAAAACACTCCCTAGGAGAGGTTTGAAAAATAAAATAAATAAAAACACCGGTTACGAATCTTCTATTAGAATAAATATGGTATTTTTGTCCAACTTGTTGGGTTGGTGGATATGACTTGGCACATTTTTTCAAATTAAATCCCAGAGATGTAAAAAAACATGAGGGAGAGGGTTTTGTGGAAAATAGGTTAGTGAACATTCACTCTTGAGGAAACAATAAACTTTCACTTTTCATATATTTGGTTTTTGAAATTTTACTTTATTTTGTTATTGAGAATCCTAGCTATTGAAAATCCATCATCTGGAGAGCTGCGACACATTATGCTGTACAACTTTTTACAAGGACACAAAAGCCTCTAGAGTTCAGCTATTATCGATTGGTACAAAAACTATTTAAATTGAACAGCCCAACACCAAAATCTTGGGTTGGTGGGTATGACTTGGCACGTTTTTTGAAATGAAATTTTTCTTCAGTTAACAACATCAAATCATTTACCATTATTTTGTATTATTTATGCCCGTTTTAATGGTAGAAGTCGAATGCCTTTCTCGTAGGAAATCTTCGGTTTTGACGCAAAACAATCTGTCATCATTTTTAGTTACGAGACCACAAGTTCAATGTGAAACAAAGTCGTAAGGCCGAAATAGCAGAAAAAGCTAAGTTTTAACGGCTAATATTCGAAGCTAAGTTTTAACGGCTCCCACGCATAAAAATCTTGAATCCGTGAAGCTATCTGTGAATCTTGGTAGTTTGAAGCAATTGGCTCGCCGACAACTAAAAATCCATGGCTCAAAGAATTGGCCTTTTCCGATAAATACTTCGGAATTCCTTTTTGATCTTGATACAGGGTGTCCGAAAAAAAAGTCGCTTTATGTCAAATTTCTAAAAGACTTTAAGTGGCTCAAAGTGGTAGGTATAGGGGGCTCACAAAAATACACTCAAGGTTCACAAATTTGTACAATGTGCGAAGAAATCTTTGCGACAATCGATTCATTGTAGCGCACCCGGTCTTTGCAGCCTGCTATTTTGCACCTAAAGTAGTATATATTAAGAATGTAACTTGCTAAAAAGTAGCATAATGTAATCAAACCTTACCTGTAAGATACTTTTCAGCTCTTTAGTAGTTAATCCTTCCTCTACTCGAACATTTCATTGCCATAAATCAACCCTTTCGCTCGTTGTGAAATTGCGATCATCTAAAGTTAAAAAATAACTCTTTGTAACAAAATAAACCAAAACAAATAACGAAGAAAACGTTACTTTAATATTTAACTCTAGATGTTGAATTCGAAGCAGCCACGATGAGTAGTCGCGTCGAGAAGAGCTTCTTGATGCGAACACGCATTTATGTCAACACCTGAAGATAAAAATACAATATTCAATTATAAAAACACATAAAAACGCCTAAAAAACAAAGAATAAAACACTACCTCATTTTGACTCCAGATGTTGCGTCGTGTTGCCGCTTCTTGCGCAATTCACGAGCCTAAACAAAGAAATATGTTAACTATAAGCAAATTGTAGACGAAAATGGCAAAAAATCGGTAAAAAAACATGCATGCTATTGGGGAAAGATATCATAAAATATTTTCATTTACACATCTTCTAGCAAATTTATACATTTTCATAAAAAAACCTTAAATACGAACTAATCTAAAAAAATTTTCCGCGCATCCTGTGCCTACTGCCGTGCCCTAGGTCAAATGAGTGAAAAAGTGTAAAAACAGAAGCAAAACCCAAAAAAACATGCAAAATCAGCGTAGAAAGCAAAAATATTAAAGTCTAGTCGGGCTGAAATGAACGTTTTTCATTTATTTTTGACGCGACGCTCAAATGAACGTTTTTAGGCCTTTTTCATTTGCTCCTCAAATGATCGTTTTTCGGTCATTTTTGACACGGCGCTATGAGAAATGAGCGCGCGCCGAATCATTGGCGCTCAAATGATCGGCGTTCAATTTTTGGCGCTCATTTGACTACTTTCCCAAAAACACACAGTGATTTCGATTTGAACACTTGAGCTCGATTTTGAGAAAATTGAAAATCGATCAATTAAAGAAGAATAATGAACTAAAATTTTGCACGTCTTTCCAAAAATTGCTTTTTTTGTGTGTTTGTTTGTTTTACTACTAAAGTTCGATGATTTTTAGTAAAATTGTCTCAGGATCTAACAAGGAAAAGTCGTTTTCAGACTATAATATCCATCAAGGATTCACTTTCACTCAATAGTGTACAGTAGGGTCCAAAAGTTTGGAACAATCACCTTCCGGCAACTTCAACTCGAGGTAACTTGCGTTAAATACATCCAATTTTGTTACTTTAAAAACTATTTTTGTTGCATTTTTTGTGAACTTTCTGAATGTCTACTTGATTTCATTTGATATTTGATCTTTTTTTTTGTCTTGCTCTTTTTCTTGGAACACCCATTTTTTAGGGGTCCAAAAGTTTGGAACAATTTCATAAATATCAATACATTTTTAATTTTAAGATGCCAAATCGTTCAAATTTGACGGAGAATGTTATAGAACTTATTGTGGCTGAAGTAAATCGAGGAAAGAGCCGTCAAGAAGTCGCCACAACATTCGGTGTCACCCATTCAGCAGTAACCAAGATTTATAACAAATGGAAGGTTTCCGGAAATGTGAAACGAGCAGCAACAAAGGGAAGGCCAGCTAAACTGGATGAGCGTGATGAGAGGACACTTGTGCTTCCATTTAAGAAGAATCGACGCGTCAATTCAGCTGATCTACGTCGAGACGCCGAGTCAAGCTATGGAGTTTCGCTCTCCAAAACGACGGCTAAGCGCATCTTAAAGTAGTTTTATGATTTAAAAAGCAAGAAAATATTGCTTTTTAGGAGACAAGGACTCAAAGGAAGTCGTCCGTCTCGAAAGCCGTTGATTTCCCGCAAGAACGTGAAGGCTCGGCTCGAGTTTGCCAAGAAGTACAAAGACTGGTCGGCTGATGATTGGAGTGCTGTATTGTGGAGCGACGAAAGCAAATATGAGCTCCTTTCCACCAATGGAATTCGATACATTAGACGTCCAATCAATCAAAGAAACAATCCAAAGTATCAAATTCCAACAGTCAAACACGGCGGTGAATCAGTTCTCATATGGGGTTTGTTACCTCCATTATCAAAGGAGCTTATTTGAAATTAGGTTGTTTTTCACGATACGGTGTCGGTCCACTTGTCCGAATCAATGGTATTATGGATGTAGATGTTTATGAAAACATCTTGCAGACCCATATGCTTCCACATGGCAGAAACAACTTGGCCAACGACTTCACTTTCATGCACGATAACGATCCGAAGCATACGGCCCGGCGTGTTAAGCAATGGCTTCAACAAAAAAACGTCGATGTGCTTCAATGGCCGGCTCAAAGCCCTGATCTGAATCCAATAGAGCATCTTTGGGAGCATTTGGACCGACAAATCCGAACCAGAAACTTCACAAAAACATCCGAACTCATGAAGGCGCTTGAGGAGGAATGGACTAAGATCCCAAGGCAAATCATTGACAATTTGATTAATTCAATGCCAAATCGTTGCGCAGCTGTTATTGAAGCAAAAGGATACACCACAAAATACTGAATTTTGCCGGTTAATTGCTAAATAAATTGTTATTTTTGAAATTGTTCCAAACTTTTGGACCCCTAAAAAATGGGTGTTCCAAGTAAAAGAGCAAGACAAAAAAAAAAGATCAAATATCAAATAAAATCAAGTAGACATTCAAAAAGTTCACAAAAAATGCAACCAAAATAGCTTTTAAAGTAACAAAATTGGATGTATTTAACGCAAGTTACATCGAGTTGAAGTTGCCGGAAGGTGATTGTTCCAAACTTTTGGACCCTACTGTATATAAAAGCAAATAACCCAAATTCTCTGCCTTTTATCAGGAAGAGCCGAAAAAAAAGTTTTGAGCCGTCCTATCTGACGCAAGTCTAAAAGATGGCACTGGTTTATAGGAAATTTCCCGACGCTATCATTCAAAAATGAAGGACTGGAAACAATACTGAAAAGCTTTCACCTTGTTTGTTTGGAAATAAGGCTTATATTCAGACTAGTCATGGTATGAAAAGTCTTAAAGTGCTCTTTTTTATCATCTCAAGTCACCAATCAAAAGGCAGATATAGGCAGATCGCTCTTGAGAAATGCATTCGAAAGCTAGCTTGATAAAATTTGTTGACTTGAAAGTGACTTTTAGAAAAGTTTTCCACCTATATTCCATATTTACTTGCTATTTTTGATTAAATCTTTATCCTAAACTGATTAAGACAAATTTTTTTGATAGTTTACAAGCTGTAAATCATTTATCCAGTTATCACTAATCAGTTTTGCAATATTTTGAAGTGAATAACATGATTTAAATTTGACTTGTTACGAGAATCAAAGTGAATAACAAAATCCACTAAGAAAAAGCCAGTATAACTTTTTGTATGAGTCACGAACGGTTCATTGCTCAAAACACCCTAATAGATAAAATTGTCAAACGTAATATTAGTGTATAAGCCATTTTTTTTATTCTAAATTGCTTAGCATTATTAAAATTTGACGATTTGATAATAAACTTTATCTGTTTTTATTTCTGACTAGCCTTGATCCGACATCCTGGCGCCAACCTTTTTTCTGCAATGCAGATTAGAATTGGCCAACGTCAAAATTCTAATCTGATTAGATTTCTGGTATTTTTATTGCACCAAACTTTGAGTCTTTTCTCAATCTTCTTTTCCGAATCTGCCTTCTAATCCACTGCTATTTTTCCTTTAATTCAAATGAGGGACTTATAAAAATTGCCAT